TTTCACATAGCTTTATATTTACCTCAGGCAAGTCATTCAGTGTCCACAGCTTGCTGGTTTGCTAACTCTTTCACTAAATAAATACTATATATTAGCCTATATATTATATTTTACTTAACTTGTTTATGATATCTTGATTATTTAATGTATGTTTAAAATAGTTGTCATGAAAATAACAGCAACTGTGTAAATTATTATATAACAATAACAAATTAGAGTAAAAACATGTTAATGCAAAAATTGCCTTATGTGCAGTTTACATGTTTTCATACAATTTGTTATTTGAGTTGTTAAGCTTTAATGTTATAGTAATGTGCAAGTAAGGGCTGTAGTTTACAGCATTAGCAGATCATTTTGTTATCCTTGAGAAACGTTTACTTGTAATTGAATTAATTTAAAGACAAGGACACAATTTGTTCATTAAAGCACTGTTTAATAAAAAATAAAAGCAATTTTAGCTTTCTAACCCAGAAACTCTTTTTGCCTCTCCTGCATTTTTACAAGATGAGAAGTCTCTGCCCCAAGTCCTCCCTCCAAAAAATTACTGGGCTTTGACTAAGGCTACGTTCAGACTGTCACTCCAAATCCAATTTTTTTGCATATCCGATTGAAATCTGATCTGATTTAGCAGGTGTGGATGGCAAAAAATCACATGAAATCCGTTTCAAGCTACATTCATATACGGTTTGAAATCCTATTCAAATCTAATTTCTAGAAATCCGAGTCTGTCGACCACTCTCGGATTTGCGTACAATGTCAACACGTCAGATGCTATTGCTGAAACTTGTTGTGGATGTGCTGTTTGCGCAAACATTTTAATATAATGAAGACATCTCCATGGGCCAGTGACGAGGTTTCTTCCCTCTTTCACTCCGAAGGGATGCATCTGTGCAAGCCAGCCTGGAAGAGACATACAGGAACTAAAGCATGTACCAAAAAATGCGCAGAAAATGGGGGAGAGGGGGTTCCACAGGTGGAAAATTAAAAACCTTAAAACTAAATACAAAGAAATAAGAGATGCAAATAACAAAAGTGGGGCAGGAAAAAATACTTTTCTATTATACGAACAGCTTAACAACATTTTAGGGAGAAAGCCAAGCATCTGCCCGTTGGTTATAATGGACAGTGCAGCGTTCGAAGAGGAAACAACCTCGAAAAACTTAAACGGTTAGTTCACCCAAAAATGAAAATGACGTCATTAATGACTCACCCTCATGTCGTTCCAAGCCCGTCAGACCTCTGTTCATCTTCAGAACACAGTTTAAGATATTTTAGATTTAGTCTGAGAGCTTTCTGTCCCTCCATTGAAAATGTATGTACGGTATACTGTCCTTGTCCAGAAAGGGAATAAAGACATCATCAAAGTAGTCCATGTGACATCAGTGGGTTAGTTAGAGTGTTTTGAAGCATCGAAAATACATTTTGGTCCAAAAATAACAAAAACTACGACTTTATTCAGCATTGTGCCATACGGAACCGTTGCCACTGAACCTACTTTAACGAAGACAGTGGGGCTCGACAGCCTTAGTCAAACGGGTTGGCGCGGAGAGATTGTAAGATTGTGGTTAGGTCACGTGAATTACGAGGAAAGAGCAATCTCAGCAGCAGGAGGGTGTAAAGGTCAGTAAGCTGGGCTGAGTTGAGTGGGGTGACTAGGGTTGCCAACCGTTCCGTATAATACGGAATCGTCCCATATTTGACACATAAAAGTCTTGTTCCGTATTGAACTGATACGGAACGCACTTTGTTCTGTATTTTTTGAGAATCAATTCAGTGCAAATCCATGACCGACAAATAGCTTCTAATATATGTCAGACAGACTATGAAGGAAGACATTTGTAGGCTATGATAAGAAAAAAAAAAACGACGGTGCGGTAGATACTAATTTCTCCCCCTGTTTGTTTATGATCAGCCGCGTAGCGTTTTTAACATCTTGGAACATCATCAGAGAATGCCCTGTAGAGTCTGGACTGTGTCAGTTGACTCCCCCCAACCTTCCCTTTCCTCAAGAAAGAACGTGGGGGTACACACACACACACACACACACACAAAGACTCACACACACACACATACACAGAACGGTGTTCTGTTACAAGACTGATTACTTTTACGACCGGGGAAGAATTTGCAGGGAACTCTTTCATGATTAACCTTTGATGCATACCATGATTAACCAAATTCATGTGTGGCACGTTTGGTCTCTATAAACTTCAATCTTCGTTCCCCATTTGTTAATTTACATTACATCTTGCTAACTTTGTGACGCAGGGGTATTATAAGAAATCTTGAAGGTTCTTTCTCTTAAACACCCAATGAACTGACATATTCAAATGTCCTGCGAGATTCACCAGAACACTTTACAACTTCGGGTTCAGGCTTCAAAGGAATTCCACGAACCCTTCCCCCCCGTTGTGTGCTCAACGCACGCAGATTCAAACACACACGAAGCTTTAATAAATTTCCTCATTTAAAGACATTTACTAAGGTATATTTGATCTGTTTTTATATTTGCCTGATTATCCACGTCATAGTGGGATATCTGTGATTTTATCGTACCTTTAAATGAAACCTAAGTATGTGTAATTTTGCAGTAAGCTGTATCTTTGTAATTCCTATACTTTTCATGTGGGTGTTTGGGATCAATGTAAACCTCGCGGTGTGTCCTAGCTGAATCCATATTGCAGATTGTGATGAAATGCATTTTACTATGTTTTATCATCTCTGGAGTAAAATGGACCACATGTTTAACACTGTCATAAAGCATGCAAAGTAGGCCTCGACAGGACAAAGAACCACTTTTGCCGCGCACTTTTCTCCCAGCTGATTGGTGCGTTCACGCCAGAGGAGGCGTGAACAGAAGTGTCTTTAAAGAAGACGCACCAAGCACCTCCTCTCTCTCTTCTCTCTCACCTCCGTCGATTCACCATGTAACTCTCGTGCTCCGTGATTCCCGCAGGAATCTTTTCTTTGTCTTTGTCTTTGTTTTGTTGAGTTTTGTTTTCCGTATTCGACTCTGTTCACTTCCACGAAGTGAAAGGAACTTAGTCTGAATTATTTATTTGGTAACTTTACGTCAAAGACCTTTAAGCCTTTGAAATTACGCGCTCCGGACACACCCGCAAACCACGTGACGCTCCAACACCACACACGCGCGCTCCTCGGACCAGCTGCAAACCATGTGACGCTCCAACGGAACACACAGGACACGCGGCGTGTCAGCAACATAAGGACCATGCAAGTATACTCATTTTATCGAGCTCTCAGAGCAGTAAGATTGTGTTTTTCCGTGTTGTCTCTCAAAGGTTTTAAAGTCTGTAATTTGCCAAACTCTGTTGATCCTTCGGGACCTTCCCAACTCTCTCTCTCTCTCTTCCCATCTTTTTCTTCACGCTCCCTTTATCTATGCATTCTCGTTCGTCGATGTTTTTATTGTGTTTGTAAATACATTTATTCTGTGTAACGTTAGTTCACCTGTATACGTAGTTTTCCGATATTAAATTCATTATATTCATTTTATTGATTCCGTCTCTTGCTCATTTCAAGTCACTTAAATGTTAAAGATCTTTGCTGCAAGCTTACAAATTAAAGATACCTTAAACAGTATCTTGTTTATGGAAAAGTGAGGTTGTTTCCCGAGGCCTGAGAAATTGCCTTTCTTGTCCTTCTACAAGGATAACTTTTGTGAGGATTGATAGAATACCGTACGGTCAGTTCGCTGGCGAACAGATTGTTTGGTAGTTGATTAATTCCATTAGAAGTTATTTATACTAGACAATTTATATGTTAATATTTTAATCATAACCCGTTTTGATTGAGGACTGATATACGATTGAGCTAATTTTAACCTGTCTGTAAAATATGTGTACATATACAGTTAATGATAATCCTTTGTGGTTAATTGTCTGTGTACATCTATGAATACAGATGCAGTTAATATACATAACGCCCTCTTTGGGCGATTTAAAATATGGTTATCTGGTCCAAACCCGTATGAATAATGAATAATAATTAATTGTTAATTATTGAATACATATTCCCCAAAACCTGACTAGATACTTTACACTCTTTTAATTGGTCGTTAGTCATTGTGAGTCACGTATCGTAGCAACGATGACGACAAGTGACAACAGCGGGAAATGTAGGGAAAATGAAAATGGGTAGGGAAAATGACTAAAAGAAAAAAGTCTAATTCTATTGAATAAGTTCGCACAAGGCTACCGAAAACTGTTGTTTATTTTTCTTCAAATGCAGTCTAAGCCGATGAGTTTTGAATGTTATATGTTGTATTTGTTTAAGTTAAAAATTAAATGTATTATAAACTAAACAAATCCATGGTTCATTGTTGGCAAAATGATCATGATAGCCTTTATATATCTATGTGGTTCAGTATTGTATATTGATTAGGCCTACTTTGCTATTCTATAAATATATAGGCCTTATAAGTTGTATTATAATATGCTATAATGTATGATAGCATACAATATTCACCAGAAGTCATCATTTCAGAGGTTATTTTTCTAAATCTTCTTCTGTGGGGGCATGTCACTACATTACACCGACTTTTTTATAGTACACTACTGAATGCCAAAGTTGCAAGTTAAATAAAACATTCTTTAGTAAAATTGTTGATTTGTGGCAGAAAATTTATCGTTTTGATTAATCGATAAATTAGTCAATAGATTAATCAATACAAAAATAGTCGTCAGTGGCAGCCCTATTATAAAGATTATTAAAGAGGAGAATGAAGACGTGAAGATTGAAGAAACATTCAGAGTGAAACATGAAGACACTTAATTTGTGTCCATCTGGACTGATTTCAGTCACAGTTTTCCTTCTTTCATACCTTATATATTTCTGAGTTATCTGGATTGAACTGTTTTATCTTTCCTCAGAGCATCAGGTCTGTTCAGGACGAGGTTTATTTACAGTAAACTGGATTAGATCAGAATAATTGTGCTCATACTTTCACTGATCAAGGGTTTACAGTGCGATCAGAGGACCTGGGTTTATACATTTCACATTTATTAATAAACTGACATTTATCAATTTTTCAATATCAATATTTATTTAACGATACATTTTCAATTGAAAGGTATTAACACACACATACACAATGATCTTACTGTCTATATGAGAATTCATTTATTTTGTTATTTCAGTGCCATAAGTTCAGCTGAAGTATTAATGTAAGATTATTAATGTGAAGAGAAAATAAGAGACTCTAGAACATCTCACTGTTACTGGTTTATCATGCGGCTCAAAGCATTATGGGTAGAATCTCTACAGTCTGTTCTCACTCATCAACACAGTTTCACTGATGATCTGTTAGATTTAGAGAAAAGAGAAAACAATCCAGTATAAATCCTAAACCCAGGATAGAGTGTGTGTGTGAATGTGGTCTGGACTGTGTGTATGAGGCTCGTTGTGTCAGAGACGCTGTAGAAGGACAGAGTTCCTGCACTGTGATCCACATACACTCCTATTCTGCTGTCACACACACACTTTCCTGTTCTACAGCTGATGGGCTTCACAGGGAGATAAGTCAATCTGTCATTGTGTCTGAATATGTATCTGGAGGGAGAGCACTCCAAACTCCAGGACTGATTATTATATCCAAACCAACACTCATTACCCCGTCCCTTCCTGCTGATGTTCTTATATGACACTGATATATACACACCAAACTTCCCACTCCACTCAATCTCCCAGTAACAGCGTCCACACACACTCTCTCTACACAACACCTGATCCACATCATCAAATCTGTCTGGATGACCAGGATACGGCTGGACTGGGGGAGTGCCAGTAATTACTCTGTTGTTCTCAGTCAGACGGAGGCGTTTACTCACAGTGTTCAGATCCAGACTGAGCGGAAGAGAATCTGAGGGAGAGAAAACACATCAGAATCAGGAATTATGAATCTGTCAGATCCGTCTAATATCCCGTGCAAATCATCATTATCATTATCCATCATCCAGGTCCCTCACACCCCCCTCTTAATAAAATATTGTCTAATCGTCTTCCCTGAATATTAATGTTGATTATTATTCTCTTTATTATAATTAGGTTTATTATTATATTTACATTATTCAAATGGTAGAAGGAGTTCACGTTTAATTTTATATATTTTTTTAAAGAAACTAATACAGCAAGTATCCATTAAATTGATTTACCAATGAGTGTATTACAATTTTTCTGAATTGCTAAAACACTAAACCAAATTCTCTGAACCAAATTCTCAATAGTTTAAACCAATTTGTTAAATAAATCACTCTTTCTGTAAAACATTAAACAAGGTCAGATAGTTAAAACACTGTTTGCAAATCTCCTGCACTCTTTTTTCAATTTTTCACATTCTCACTCACTAAAACATACTGTGATGCACTTATGTTTCAAAACGCTAAACACAGGCAGGCGAAAGTTAAACACAACTACAACACAGTTGTCATTGTTTACACACAACGACTCAAAATTGTTCGCACTTATTTCTAATGCTGTGACTAAACCTATAAATGTACTATAAACAAAAAATATAAGAGGGAGAGAAGAAAGAGTATGTGTGTAAGAGGAGAGTGAAGAGGAAGAGTGTGAGGAAGAGCAGGTGTGTGCTTGTGTAAGAGAAAGCGTGTGAGGAAGAGCAGGTGTGTGTAAGAGGAAGAGTGTGAGGAAGAGCAGGTGTGTGTGTGCGTAAGAGGAAGAGTGTGAGGAAGGTCGAATGATCTGTAGTTTTTATAATATTGACCCATGTGTGTACGATCTGAAAGCATTGTTTGATTTTCAGCAGATAAAATGGTTTTGAGGCGATAGTTTGATTTTGCCGAAAGAGTCAGAGGTTCTGTTAATGTGGTTTGAAGATCTGTGCTGCGTCCCAATTCGCATACTATCCGTCCTAAATAGATTTCGAAAATAGTATTAGTACGTCCCAAATCGTAGTATGTTGAAATAAGTGTCCCAAAGAGACCCGGATGGTCTACTATTTCCGGTCAGAATCCGAATAGCAGATCGATGCGCACTCTAACGGCTGATACTGTCCACAACCCATCGCGCGTTAGACGAGGATTCGGTTAGAACTACAAACACGAGTGAAAAGTGTAAAAAAAATAAATAAATAACTACAGACATGGAGGACGTGCGAGTCCGGTGGTTGTGTAGAGAGGTTTCAATAAAGGGTTTTGAGTGATTAATTATCAGTATCCAACCTGACGAAAATGTATTTATTCAATGTTGGATACATTATTATATTGCATCTGCAGCAGCATTGTGAACTTTTGTAAAGATACGTCTAGCCATTAACTTTTAAATGCATCATTACATTCAAATTGCAAACACATGAGGAGAGTATCCGCATGAAAGACCCACGACTGGCAGATGAACCTGCGACAACATTTCTCTCAGAAAGAGTAGGAAATTATATTAGATTAAATTGAGGATTTTAACTGAGTTTACGGTTACAGGATGATTGACAGGGAAGTTTACGGTGACCGGATGATTGGCAGGGAAGACAGGGTGATTGACAGGGCAGACAGGATGATTGACAGGGCAGAGAGGATGATTGAAAGGGCAGTTTACGGTGACAGGATGATTGGCAGGGCAGTTTACGGTGACAGGATGATTGGCAGGGCAGTTTACGGTGACAGGATGATTGACAGGGCAGTTTACGGTGACAGGATGATTGACAGGGCAGTTTACGGTGACAGGATGATTGACAGGGCAGACAGGATGATTGACAGGCCAGTTTACGGTGACAGGATGATTGGCAGGGCAGTTTACGGTGACAGGATGATTGACTGGGCAGTTTACGGTGACAGGATGATTGGCAGGCCAGTTTACGGTGACAGGATGATTGACAGGGCAGTTTACGGTGACAGGATGATTGACAGGGTAGACAGGATGATTGACAGGCCAGTTTACGGTGACAGGATGATTGGCAGGGCAGTTTACGGTGACAGGATGATTGGCAGGCCAGTTTACGGTGACAGGATGATTGACAGGGCAGTTTACGGTGACAGGATGATTGACAGGGCAGACAGGATGATTGACAGGCCAGTTTACGGTGACAGGATGATTGGCAGGGCAGTTTACAGTGACAGGATGATTGAAAGGGCAGTTTACGGTGACAGGATGATTGGCAGGGCAGTTTACGGTGACAGGATGATTGACAGGGCAGTTTACGGTGACAGGATGATTGACAGGGCAGTTTACGGTGACAGGATGATTGACAGGGCAGACAGGATGATTGACAGGCCAGTTTACGGTGACAGGATGGTTGGCAGGGCAGTTTACGGTGACAGGATGATTGGCAGGGCAGTTTACGGTGACAGGATGATTGACTGGGCAGTTTACGGTGACAGGATGATTGGCAGGCCAGTTTACGGTGACAGGATGATTGACAGGGCAGTTTACGGTGACAGGATGATTGACAGGGTAGACAGGATGATTGACAGGCCAGTTTACGGTGACAGGATGATTGGCAGGGAAGTTTACGGTGACAGGATGATTGGCAGGGCAGTTTACGGTGACAGGATGATTGACAGGGCAGTTTACGGTGACAGGATGATTGACAGGGTAGACAGGATGATTGACAGGCCAGTTTACGGTGACAGGATGATTGACAGGGCAGTTTACGGTGACAGGATGATTGACAGGGCAGACAGGATGATTGACAGGCCAGTTTACGGTGACAGGATGATTGGCAGGGCAGTTTACAGTGACAGGATGATTGGCAGGGCAGTTTACGGTGACAGGATGATTGGCAGGGCAGTTTACAGTGACAGGATGATTGGCAGGGCAGTTTACGGTGACAGGATGATTGACAGGGCAGTTTACGGTGACAGGATGATTGACAGGCCAGTTTACGGATACAGGATGATTGACAGGGCAAACAGGATGATTGACAGGCCAGTTTACGGTGACAGGATGATTGACAGGGCAGTTTACAGTGACAGGATGATTGACAGGGCCGTTTACGCTGACAGGATCATTGACAGGGCAGACAGGATGATTGACAGGGCAGTTTACGGTGCCAGGATGATTGACAGGCCAGTTTACAGTGACAGGATGATTGGCAGGGCAGTTTACGGTGACAGGATGATTGACAGGGCAGTTTACAGTGACATGATTGACAGGGCAGTTTACTGTGACAGGATGATTGGCAGGGCAGTTTGCGGTGACAGGATGATTGACAGGGTAGACAGGATGATTGACAGGCCAGTTTACGGTGACAGGATGATTGGCAGGGCAGTTTACGGTGACAGGATGATTGGCAGGGCCGTTTACAGTGACAGGATGATTGGCAGGGCAGTTTACGGTGACAGGATGATTGACAGGCCAGTTTACGGTCACAGGATGATGATTTTATAAAAGCTTTTATAAAAGCTACTTAACTGCCCTACCCTGTCTGTGAAACCAGGCCTACAAGTTTCATCTTGTAAATCTTTTTACGCACCTTAGAAGAGATATTGCTTCCAGCGCCCGATGTTCCTCGTTGAAAAACCGCTAATTTACATGATCAACTATGTTTTCTTTCACCTTCTACAGGAAGAACATGAACACACTCAGTGAGTTTATCTGCTTGTTTTCTTAGTGACTTACATTGTAGGAAGTCGCTCCTGGTTCTGGGAACAATGTTGGTGAAAATGACTGTGGAAATCAACAGACATGAAGAGTGTGATTATCATGTCAAGAGAAAATGATCCCTGCATCCGTTCCTAAGACATTTCTAATATGATCTTCTACATGATATGAGATGATGGAGGATCATTTCTGAGAGCAGAATCTCCAGGACTTTACCTCTGTCAGAGATCTTCTTGAGCTCTTCTTTGAAGAAATCCTCCAGTTTGTCTCTCAGCCGAAGGACAGATTCTCTCACGCCATCAAAAGAGGAGAGAGGACTGAAGGGATTGTCATTTACGTCTGTAGATTCAGGAGGAGCCGAGAGAGACTGGAAACTCTACAGAAAACAGAAATCAAAGCTCATCACCTCCACACTTCATCAATAACCTGCACTACTGTCAGATTTGTGCGGCTCTTGTTGATCTTTAATAACTCTCCTCAATCCAGCACTTTCACAACATCAGCTTCATTCTCATTTTCATTACATCATGTTAGAGCCACAAGTTCTAGTGTTTGACACTTACACTGTATGTGAACTTTCTAGAAAATCACTTGGATGATCAAACATCTGGCAATAATATAAATGTCAAGTGCCTCAATGGAGTCACGTTGAGTAAATTGAATCAGGAAAAGCCGGTCAAAGGCAACGAGTAGATTTTCCCTTTATTAATAACTTTTGAGCAGTTCTAAACTTTTGCCTCTGAAATTCACAAGGACTCTTAGGACATTATCCCAATGTCAGGGTTTGTGGTTTATATCAACAGATATGAAGCAGATATATCATGCTAGTGCAATACGTTCTAGCATTTGCCATTTACACTATATTTAAACTTTCTAGGAAAACACTTGGGTGCTCAAACATCTGGCAATAACATAGTAACAGATCAAGAGCATCAATGGCGTCAAACGGCAGGACTGAGTAGATTTGATTAATTCTGAAGTCTTTGACTCATTCTGTCTCATTTGACACGATCCCAAGGTCAGGTTTTGTGGTTTAAATACACTGCAGAAGATGAGAGTCTGACTGATGATTGTATAATAACCGAACACACAGATCAACACTTCAGTCAACGGCTCATTCTGCTCTCATGAAATGTTTCTCTGTGAGTCTCTTGCTCAAGTCCACTATGATCCTGTTCTTCTAGATCTCTGTTACCTGCAGGAAATGGATGTGATCCTGTGTGTGTGAAAGCTGCTCCAGCTCAGCGTCTCTCCTCCTCAGATCATTGATCTCCTGCTCCAGTCGCTCCAGTCGTCCTTCAGCTCGACTCACTGCAGTCTTTTCCTGGTCTCTGATCCGCTGTGTCGCCTCAGAGCGGCTTCTCTCAATGGAGCGGATGAACTTAGTGAAGATCCTCTCACTGTCCTCCACTGCTGTCTGTGCAGAGCGCTGTTAGGACACACATCACAATCACACAGTGAGCTTCAGTGAGTCCTGACTGAGACGTCTCAAACTTCTCTTCTTCTCCAGACTCACCTTATGAGACGCCACAGCCTCTCTCAGCTGCTGAAGATCTTTCTCTCTCTGCTGGATCCTCTGCTGGAACGACCTCTGCGTCTTCTTCAGCTGGTGCTAAAGGACAAACCAGTGACAGGAGAAACATCACACAAATCATCAGGTAAACAGATATAAATCCAGTATAGGTGAAGTCTGATTGGTTAAAGATCTTGCATGTTAAGGTTATTTTCATCAATTTATTTAATCAATTTTATAGGGATAGTTCACCCAGAAATGTGAATTCTTTCATTGTTTACTCATCCTCATGTCTTTCCATACATGTATGATTTTCTCTTGCATAACACAAAAGAATATATTATGAATAATGTCTCAGTTTCTAGGGCTAAAACAGAGAGGGTGAAAACAGACATTAAATATGTAAATGTATTCTAGTAGAGCCATAAACAAAATGATGAGCCTGTAAATAAGTATTATGAGACTCCTTCAAGTTCATACCTGTTTCTCTGTCCTCTGCACTGCAGCTGATACAGTGTCGTGGTTTTTATGTTCATCCATCGTACACAGGAGACATATAAACTTCTGATCAGTGCGGCAGAAAACCTCGAGGAGTTTATCATGTGTTTGGCAGATCATCTCCTGCAGTCGTCCAGTGGCATCAGTCAGATTGTGTCTCTTTCCTTTAAACCAACTCTCATGTTGTTCAAGGTGACTCTGACAGTAAGAGTTCAGACACCCCAGACAGGACTTGATGGCTTTGTGTTTTCTTCCAGTACAGACGTCACACTGAACATCTCCAGCTCCAGCGTAACAGTCAGCAGGAAGTGTAGTCTTCTTCAGTTTCTCCACCACTTCAGCCAGCATGGTGTTTTTAGCTAAAGCAGGTCTTGGACTGAAGGTCTGTCTGCACTGAGGGCAGCTGTAGACTCTCTTCTCATCCTCCTGATCCCAGCAGTCTGTAATACAGATCTTACAGTAACTGTGTCCACAGGGAATGGCCACTGGATCCTTCAGGAGATCCAGACACACTGAACACAGGAACTCATCCGGAGAAAACCTGGCTTCTGCCATTTTACTGCATAAACACAGAGAAACAAACACACAACAGCTCAACTACACTTCAGTGTCTCTTTCCCTGAACTGAAACTGTTTCTTGTTTCCTGGTTCTGTGTTTGAGTGACGTGTGCAAAACAGGCGTGTCTGTAAAGCAGCTTCCTCATTCCTGGTCCCACACACATTGTGTTTAATCAGTCTCAGACACACACTCAAAGAATAGAAGTTACAGAGAAGCAAGACAACACCCTTAATAGTTCAGTAATTCTGTCTCATAAATACTTCACTGGTACCGCAGGACTGAAAACTGTGTCCAGTTCCTCATAGGGCTGGGACGATACACCTATCTCCCAATTCAATACTATCATGATACTTGGGTGCCCATACGATATGTATTGTGATTTTTAAGAATTGCGATTCTACAAGTACAGCGATTCGATTTTGCAATGTATTGCGATTGTTCTGTTAATGTTTTTTTAATACTAGACCCTGGGGAACAGTTGAATCATACACTAATACAGACTGTACATGATGTATAAGATGAGTCATATTTACAAAAACAATTCCTCACATGATGACAAGGTTGGGATAAAATTTTACATAAGTACAGAAAAGCTGTACCTCATTTAGCATTGTATATGTGATAATATTGTGTACCTCACACTTAATACTGCTTGTCCAACATCATTTAATGTGATGTTTGTCATGTGCTGGACTGTCAGACCCTTTTGCAACTGCTGGTCCTGAAGTTTTCGGTTTGTCCCAGTGTTTTTGTGGTGAATTATATTCCTCATCATGAGCACGTGTGTTGATGATGCCATGCTATTTTGAAAATAGTTGTTTTTCTGAAGGCTTCCAAACAACTGCTCATCCACCTTAAAAATTAACCAATCAAAACAAGAACAGAAATAAGATATATGTTTGCACTTTGACATTAACTTTTTATCTGTTCATCTAAAATATAATGGGTTTAGTTCAATTGTAATGCATTTATTTAGAATTTCTCTAAAATTTCCATTATGTACTTCCGGTTAAAACATCTATTAATCTGTTAATATGAACGATTATAAAGTTTTAACATGCTATACAGACACAGATTTAACTGGCACCCCCTGCACGGACACATAGCACCCCCACCCCGTCTGAAATCAAGAGCTGGTTTCCTGCTGTAAGAAATTATAGTCTGCTCCGATCCAACTTCCACTCCAATATAGATATATTGAAATGTTCCTTCACTTAAAAGAGCTTATTTATCATAGAATTAATTCCTTACAATCTTAAAAGTATCACAGAGTCACGTTTATTACCTATAGCGTGGGAATGACAGCGGGTATTCAAGAACCATCTTGATTAGGGAGCTTCAAAGAGATGACATCACCTTAAACATTTGGCCATTCTTATTTGAAAGAATATCAAAGACATGGACACAGAGGTACCACTTTTAGTTCTCTTCAATTTACATTTAAGATAGAGTTTCAGCTCCACGCTGAGAGAGAAGACGAATTTGTTATTCTCAATTTACATTTAAGAGAGAGCTTCATTTACATGCTGAGGGGAAAGATAGATGTAAGACGGCATAAAATGTTTACGTTGGGATGAGTTCGGGGTTCATTCTGACGCGAGTGAACCCAAGGTGCTTCGTGTCCCTTACCACTGCTATGCTGTAATAAACTTCATTTTTGAGATCTTCGACATCTACTTCATTTTTTCTTACACTGCTGACAGTCCCACCTCTCCAGACAACCGAAGAAATAGCAAGGACCCACATTTGGAAAGATGAATGGAACCAGCTAAATACACGAGCCCTGGAATGGATGGAGAGAGGAATCACCTCGACTGAATGTCTCGCCAGTGGGCACGACCTCCCATGGCTAACCTGGAAGACCCTCAACAGATTACGAGTGGAACAGGGGAGGTGCAAAGCACTTATGAAAACATGGAACCACCAGACAGACGATGTCCCATCTACTGGTGTGTGAAAACGCCCCTCAGTGCAGCGCCCAGGACCTGGCTGAATTGGAAAAACAGGTTGTACCTAGACCATGGTGCCGAGCAGGTGGAGTCTTTATACCTAAAGAAAAAGTTGCTACAAGCATCAGTCAGTTTTGTCCTATTTCACTATTAAAACGTTGAAGACAAGATTTTCTTCAGCATTATTGCTCAGAGATTGTCAACCTACCTGTTAAAGAACTGCTTCATTGACACTTCAATACAAAAAGCGGGCATTCCAGGTTTTCCAGGATGCTTAGAACACATCATTGAGATCTAGCAACAAATTCAATCAGCTAAAAAGGAGAGGAAGGAGCTCCATCCTGGATTTGGCTAATGCATATGGTCCAGTGCCACATGAGCTTCTTTGGGCAGCATTTGATTTTCTCAGTGTACCGATGACAATAACAAATTTAGTGAAAGCCTACTTTGGAGATTTGCAATTTAGTTTCTCAACTTCAGAATTCAGCACTGCATGGCAATGCTTAGAGGTTGGAATAATGGCAGGATGCACCATTTCTCCACTGGCTTTTACCATGGCAATGAGAGTAATCATTAGGGCATTAAAATGGGTAGTACCACCAATCGGAGCATACATGGATGATATGACAACCATGACTACAACAGTGTGCCTGCACTAATCGGTTATTGGTAAATTAACCAATAACATTGAATGGGCAAGAATGCAATTTAAGCCATTAAAATGGGTAGTACCACCAATCGGAGCATACATGGATGATATGACAACCATGACTACAACAGTGTGCCTGCACTAATCGGTTATTGGGTAAATTAACCAATAACATTGAATGGGCAAGAATGCAATTTAAGCCATCTAAATCAAGGAGCATCTCTATAATTAAAGGCAAAGTAGTAGATAAAACATTCTTCATTAATGGTGAGGCAATACCAACAGTGTCTGAGAAGCCAGTGAAGAACACTAAAGGCAAAAAGAGGCAAAGAGAAACGCATGTTTTTAATTTAATTATGTTTCTTTGGACAATTTGTACTGTTTTAATTGTTTAATTTAGCTGTAATTTCTTTGGCAATACAAATTTAAAATGTCGCAAGAATAAGATTAGCCTAGTGTTTATTATTTTGCATCGCAAAAGAAATAAACTCTAAACCCGATGCAACCCTGTTTTAAATTAAAAAAATTAAACCTTGAAATGTTCGAACTTGGTTTCAAACTTAAGTAATTTTAGTGTTCTTTTACATTACACAATAATTTAGCAGACTAAAGACGAGCTTCTTCATTTTCATTTTCTGATGCAATCGGCTGACAATCTTCCTTCATCAGTTATTGTCGTTTGTGCAGCAGCTGCGGTTCTACAGGAATGTAGCAAATTTATGTTGTAATGATAATCAAACAAAACTCTTGACTTTAAATAAGTAAACAGATATAAACAGTTACCTATTTAAGCATCAAGGTGGGAAAATATAAACGCTGTAGGACAACATCGGTTAACAACATGTAGGCCTATGCTACATTGAGATTCGATCTCGGGTCTATTGAAGCTCCTCGAAGCTCGTGTTATTGCGTTGATCATTGAGCTACCGTATATAGGCTACGCTGTTAAAGTTGTAAAGCCTCATCGATGTAGCCTAAATGTTTTTATTGCAATGTTTTATGTTGAAATGTTTTCATTATTTATTCAATTACATTTCAGTAGCCTAATTTCAGTATTGTGATTATGAATTATTTTAACTACGTTTCACTTGTTGAATTCTTCTGCTAACAGCTTTCAATCGCTCTGAATCAGCCGCGGTGCGGCAGCAGATTACGCATTAGAGAGAATAAACCGGAATAAACGAACACTTTTCAGAGTCTATGATTGTAGCGCCTCTTAGCGGTAAAAGGCAGCAAATACACCACACATTTTACCGCCGCGGTGGAACGGCTGATGTGGGCATTGTCATGGCTTGCCTCGACATTTGCGTTTGAATAGCGTGCGTCCTCCGTGGGCGTGTCAGATTAACGCGTAATGAAGTGTAATGAGCTGGGAAAAAAATACTGACAGCACTCTCTTTTCATACAGATTGCATAAACTGAGAATATTTGTTTTTTATATAAATTACTTCATTTAAAAGAAGAGAATTCAAGCTTCATAAAGAAAAATCTCTCGTACCTGTGTGACAAGTAATCGCGGAGTTACAGTTAATCTTAGGACGCGTTTCAGAATGGACTTCACTGACAGAGAGAACGCAGAACTCGCATCATGTTTGTTTTTCTTTATTTGGTGAAAAGCACAACACTTTGTTTTTATTGTGAGTATCCACAAAAAAAATAGAAACTTAACAGGATATGGAAGCTTTAGCTTAAGTTCTGTCAGGAAGACTCAATCAGCGCGCCATGTATTACCTCATCCCCATCCAATCAGGTGTTAACAGTCACAGTATATAAGATTGGTACTTACACTTGTCTGAGTTCGCAGATGCTGACGCTGCCATTCACCTCCATCCTCCCCAACCACCACAAAGACGGTACCTTCCCCTCCATCCTCCCCATCACCACCACCAGGATGGTCCCTTCCTTACCTCCAGGGGGTCGGCTGCGCCCCCGCCTTCATCTCAGGCGGGACATGCAGATTCGGCTAACCTCGCTTTGCTCGCTAAGGACGGGGCCTACGCCAAAGAACTCATAAATTTATGCTTGCTGAGCTGTCAATAAATGTATATAGCTTTTCAATTTATCTCCCGAGTCTTTCTGGTAGAACTAATGATGTATAACACTTAAATGTAAGATCAAAATCAACCGAGTATTTTGAGTCTCTTTTGCACTGATAAGAAAAAGCGAGCAGATCACGCCAGCGTGATTGCCGACCCCAGAGAGTTAACCGATGAGTTTAAGTGCGCCATGGTCAGACTGGAAATGACATTAGTAGAGTCACGTGACGCATGTGTAAGGGAGGCAGCACCTGTGTTAAAAAATGGAAGAAAGTGGTCAGCAAAGAAATCTGTGGTAGAGGCAAAGGCTGCCCTTCAAATTGGTGATATCGTGGGGCAAGGACAGCATGGAAGAGGGGGTTTTGGGCTCAGTTTAGCTCCTCCTAAATGGCACAAGGCAGGCCCAGCTCAAAGGAGGAAGCTGGTAGTCAACGAGGTGTGAAAGCAGGAGGAGAAGA